AATATGGGCTGTGTGGGAGTCGCGAGTTTAGACTACGCTGGCGTTAACTGTGGTATATTACTGGAAGCTTCAAGCAGCAGTCATGCCAAAGCACGTCGAGACCCAGCGACGACCTGAAGCCATAGCGGCGCTAGTGACCTGCCGCCGAATCAAGCAAGCAAGCAAAAGACAACCACTATGCACAAAAACTGTAGGCAAAACTCAGTGGAAAGCAAATAAAAAGAATGTCGTAATGTGGACATGAAGAAAATTAAACTTATATTTCAACAACATCGATAGAGACGCCAACTCATGTTGGTGGTGCAGTCAACGGCCGACGACGACATGTTACAGCAGCAGCGACGTGTGCGCCACAACAACGGCAAACATTAACTATGCCGCACGAGTAGACTACTACGCCAATGACTACTAACAACCTAAGAACCTATCAAATCATTCCACAACGCTGCACCAACTATCATACTCCCATAACGGAGCGCAGTGTTGGCGCAAAGTCGAATCAAGACATGTCAGACGAGACTGCAAAGCTACAGCGGCAGATTGGAACTGCGACAGCCGAAAAGACAAGTAAAATTACAAAAAACAGCCCAAGTTAGACACAAGCAAAGCATACATATATGGAAAAATGGTTTCAAAGACGAGCGACCGGGAGACAAGCTTTACAACATAAGGTCCCAGCGACAAGACGAAAAAAACACGGAGCTCTAAAGTGTGGTGGTCAGCTGAGTGGCAATGCTTTGAGGTGGTGGATAAGTGGCGGGCGAACGTAAAATTGGCACAACTGTTAGGCGCCTTCCTAAACAACCAAAAGATTAGGTAAACTAAACTAAAAACAACTAGCGACAAAGCAGAGACATAACAAAAAAACATCGGCAGATATTGCAGAAGACAGTATACAAAAAAAAAAAGGAAAAAGAACCAGCAACAACAAAAAATGGAGTAATGATACTTAACAAAGAAAAACATGAGGAGAGCGCAGACGGAAAGACTGTTTGAACTACCAAATGAAATGATTTCATTTTCGGGGGAAAAAAAATTAAGAAGCAAAAAGAAAAAAATTTGGAGTAAGCAACGACAGCAGCTTGAGATTGAAAAAAAGAAACGAACAAACACGATGGACAAGCACACAAACAGCAAACATTTGACGACCAATGATGAACAAATACTTGAGGAGCTTGATAACTGAAGAGTGGTACGAATCCATTAGCTGTTGGATTCGGCTATTTCCCCAATGAAGACGTAGGTACGTATAACGCGTACTTACCCGCCGAAGCGATAATATGTGCAAACAGAATTAAAATCATAAACGAAGCAATAGAAATTATGTGGCGATGACGGCGAGGAGTTTTGACTCGAGCAGCTTGAAGAAGAGATGGGCAGACTGACGAAGCGGGCAACAAGGCAGGCGAGCTGTAAAACCGCCAAGTTGTCTAAGATTTGCGCTTTGGACATGAGGTCACGCGCCATGACGCAGCAGCTATGTGTGTCTGGAACATAGCAATTGAATTAGTACGAGCATACGACGGCTGACGGAGCGCGGCGAAGATAACGGTAGCAAAGCGTAAGAGCAAACAGTAATCAAGAGCATAACTGAGTCATAGCGAGAACACGCGACGCCACAAAAACAAACCAAACAAGGTTTGTGTTATAATTGGCAAACGAAAGGATTCAAACCAAAGTAATTGATTGAAGAATTGTTTCTAAAGTAAACCACTTGACGGCTTTCTCAAGGTTGGATGAAGATGTGGGCTATTAGAGGGTCGAGTAAGAGATGGAAAGCTGAATGTGATCACATAAAAGCCTTAATTAAAGCTTATAAGACTATTTTTCACGCATTTTGAAGACCTGGTACTGAAAATTTGTGAACAACGAATGACCAGCTTCAATATAATTTCATTTACTGGGATATATAGTAAAAATGGTTGCTCCAGTCTTAACGAGTTTTTGGTTAAAGTAACTGAAAAGTCGAAATGGTAGGCAGTTACACCAATAAATAAACCGGGCAGGAAAGGTCTCAAACCACCTGGAAGAAGAAAGTACCATAGAACGTTACAGCAGCTGACTATAGACTCGACTTTAATAACCTCGTTCAAAATCAAAACCAGATGAAGGTTCACCAAAAACAAACGCAATAGTCTACACAAAGCGAAATCACATCAACTTCCGACAATCGCCACAATAATTGCCCAACACGAATAATAAACTCAACAATATGAGGGCCACAAAATGGCATTGAATAATAATCATTGTTGCCACTACGACTATTGTGGGTCATAATAACTACAATAATACACGAGTATTCGTCACACTGGCAACTACCTACCCACTCATCACTCATTTCATTATCACATCAACGATTGTATACGCGTCACACCAAGATTTGTCTGCCTTCTAATTAAACTCTCGTACTTCAATGCGAACGTACCGAAATGTTAATGTGTGTGTGTGCTTGTTAGTATGTGCGCACTCTAGGAAATTTAGAGGGGTCTTTACTCTAACAGTGACGCTTCGCACGTACAACCTTTAATGTTGGAAAAATTTACTTATACGCCACGCACGAACTCTTCATTAAAAGAAACGAATGAACGTAATGAAACCGCTAAGCGAACGAAGTTGGTAAAACGCAAAAATAATATTTAAAAAAATGCTGAGAAATACGTTAGTAAAAATTTATGACAAGGACGACGTAAACTACAAGTGCGTACGCGTATTACTCTAGAATGTACGGCTGCATAATGACAAGGGAGATGGCAAGATGGTTGCAATACACAATACATTGTAAAATATGTAGCTAAGACATGCACCGCAATGTATAGAGAGCGGAGAGTATAACGGAGTTGACTTTGGCGCTGTGAGAGGAGCGTTCTTTTATAAGAAAGATGTGGAGGATGAATTAGCAGTGAGTATTAGTAGCATACTTAAGAGAGATCATCTCAACAACATTATGCTGTAACGGTGTTATAAATAATGTTGTCTTTGGAAAAGTTTCTTACTATGTTAGTTTGAAACATAAGAAATGGCTTCAAAAAAATTTATACTGCTTTTTTCTTTGAAAAATTATTTCTCGAAAAGCTTTCAAAATATATCTATTTGTATCATTCTCTGATGAAAAGACAAAGGGAGTATTCGTATGCTTCTCGATTTTACTTGAGTGTTATTTGGTTTAAAAAATAGAGTCACAATTCACTGTGTCATAGAACAAGCCACATAACGGTGAAGGCTCGAGGGGCTGCAAAAAAAATAGTCGAAAAAATTTACGGTAGTTGATTAAATAGAGAAGATATGAACTCTAAAAAGCCTGAATAGAACTACGTCAGTTGGAAGTGTATCCATTTTAAATTATTTTTTTTAAAACCTTCGGAAACATTCACGATGGACGAGTAAATAGAGTAGATATGAATTCCAGAATCCATTTACCCCTTTAAGCTTTTTCATTTACCAATCTCCGAAGAAATTGTTAAGATCGAGTCACTATAGCATATAGCTGCCATACAAACTGACCGGTTCTGATCAGGTTCTTGTAGGGCATCTCTTATGAAGGGTATTATTGCTTCTGTGCAACCGTAGTTACCGTTATTTCTTTTTACAGCTACACACTGAAAAAAGGTCGGCTAGCTTCTAGTTTGGATCTCTGAGAAGATTCTTGCACCATCACAAGATTTTTTGTTTGACAGTTACATGTCACCAAAGCATTCACCATGAGTTCCTTAAACAGTTCTGCCTATATATTTTGTAATATTCTATCGTAAAATAAACATTTGACTGACAAGTAGGCATTACTTTATATCTTATTTATTTACTCTTACGGTTTCACTCTCTTTCTTTCTATCTTTCTCTCTGTCTCTATTTCTCGCTATTTGTCTTTCACTCTCGAGCTCTTCCTCTCTCTTGTCACTAATATTGTTTTGCTCTGAGTAAACAATGGAAGGTTATTTACTGTCACAGCCAACGTTGTCCTCGAACATTTTGTTAACATTTAATGTGAGTATTTCAAGATGAGAGAGCAGGACGCTCCGCCAGGAGTACAGGCTCCACATACCACCGGTCTATAGCTGTGTGTTTGTGTATCCATACACAGCTTACTCCCAAACTCACTCACGCACGCTTACTTACTCATACACTCAACCCCCACCCCTACACACACACACACGCATACACCAGCAGTCACATGAACTCTAAAGCCGCTACGCTGCAAACTTACTCACAGCAATGATGAATGAGATTTAGCGTTACGATTTTTTTCATTGTCCTTGTCACTGTTGGTTCAGATATTTGTTTTTGCACCACTTCGACATCTGTGTGTGTGTGTGTGTGGGTGGTGAGTAGTGGGTGTTTCTGCGCGCTCGCCACACATTCGTTCGTCACTTGCTCGTTGCCAGTACCGTGATACGAATAAATTGTATGCTAGAGTTGACTAAAGACACACACACGCAAATAGAGAAATAATTATAAATGAATATGCATGCACTTGTGTGTGTGTGTGTGTGTAAGTGCATTTGTAGTCACTTAATATGAATAGTAAGGTATAGTATATATTTTTCTTATATTTTTAGTTTTTGTTGTTGTTGTTTGCATTTGTATGCTTGAAAAGTACATTCAGTGACAGGATATGTGCGCTTATGGTTGTTGTGCGCCTTAAATATACTAAGAAAAGTGCATACGAAATGCGTCACACATATATGTACCTACATTCATACATTCATATATAGGGTTTGCTTTATATATATATATATATTATATCGTTATATTATATATATATATGTATATGTCTTTCTACTGCTGTTGGAAAATTCGAAAAGTGGCAGAATACTTGTTGGAAGTTTGTTTTACGCTTTTACTAAATTTTGTTTAATTTTTTGTAGCTTTTTACTTTCAACTCCGTGCCAAAATTTTATAGCACTTTAACAAAAAACTCAAAATTTATTATGAAATATGTTTTAGAATTGTTATTTGTTAAGCTTTATATTGTTTAATGCTTTTAAATTTATTTTATATATTACCTTTTGCATTTGTGTCCTTTACTACCGTTGGATGCACACTTTTAGCGCGCTATATAGCAGCCTTTTAGGCGTATAGCCTTCAGCACTTCAAAAAGGCTTTTATTTCATGAAATTTGCATATCTAAGAGAGTTTTAAGGTTAATTCTATATAACAATTATTTGCATCAGATATACATCTTTGTAGCAGCCTTGCAGCCCGTGCTTTAAGTGTTAAGAATACTATTTTACCACTACCTTTTAATAAAATTTTGCATACTTTTAGGCGCGTTGCAATATTTGTAATAAGCAGCAAGTATTCGCACAAGTGAGACCGCAATATAGCAGCCTTTTAGGCGCTTATTTCTAACTACTTCAAAATAAGACTTTGACTTCAACAAATTTTGCATGCTTTCAGGCGCGTTGTAAATTTTCTTTTCAGCACAAGTTACTTGTGCAAGGCGCCAAGCCTTAAATACTCATAGTAGGCTTTAATTTTATAAATTTTTGCATACTTTCAGGCGCGTCGCAAATTTTAATATTCAGCAGCAGTTATTTGCACAAGTTTTTTTCAATTTTTTCGCTTTTGTAATTTTTACTGTGAAAATTTTAATCAACTTCAAGCGTTAAACTTTCTGCCTTTCAATCAGCTTTAAACACTCACTATAGTTAACTGACAATTTTCTACACAAAAAGTGTCAAAACAACTCTCTTTCAATACTCGTCAGTCTACAAAGTAATCAATTTTCTTTTTACTTTAGAAAATACTTTAGTAACATTTTTGCTTCCATTTCACTTTTTGTGCCATTTTGTAAAATTTCCTTTTTTAAGAATTTCATACAAATAATTGAAAACGCGTCGCTTTATTTAACACACAACCGTTACCCAACGCGCGGCGTTGAGTACAGCACACCGGAGCGTTCAAGCGACGAATATGAATGGGTAGCACTGTGTCGTAGCGAAACTGACAAATACCGTTAAAATGTGCTGACTTAGTAGGCTGCTACTGGCTAACTCACTTACAGCACCAATAACCGTTACTCAACTGAAGTTATAGCGGTAAACGCTGTCACTATGGATACGCGCTCACGGTGAGCGTTGAATAGTAAAAGCGAGCGCAAAGAAAAGTGAGCGCGCGTTCAGTAGTATGAGAGAGCGTAGCATAATATGAGTGCGGACGAATGTGAGCGCAATCACTTACAGTTAGTGCGCCTGCTCGTACATTTAGTTTGGTGTGAGTGCACTCGTTACACCACCGCAATATTTCTAGTTGAGCTCGGTAGTGCCTTATTTTTTTACTCCTTATTGATTAGATTTTTTCACTGTTATAACTCGTTATTTTTCGCGCACGGTTGCCAACTTGTCTAAACTAGAGTAGCACAACTACAAAGCTAGTGTATTTTTCAGACAAAAAACGTTGCGCGAGAGTGGGAGCACTACTGTATGCGCCAACAAAGTGTCACTCGCTGGAGTTTTGACAGCTATATGTAGCTAAAAAGTTAAGATTTGGGACTATTTTTTTTTTATTGTTAAAGCCTTCACGCTTTCTTCGCAAATTTAATAATTTTTTTAATGTCTCTAACCTAACTTTACGCAATTCACATACTTAGAACTCACTTTCCCTCCGCATTTTTTTGGCATTTCTATTGAAGCAGCGCCAGTTTGGCGGCTCGTTGCTCATACACCCAGCCTGGGTGGCACACCCGCACATTCTTCCGCGTTATTTTCACTGAATTCCAATCAATTTCATTGCATACATATATTCTCACAACTAATCACTGCTTTCACATAATTGTTTTGTTTTTATTTCACACTTTTTCGTACATTTTCCAAGCTTTTCCATAATTTAACATTAGCTTTGCACGCACTTTTCCATAATTTCTTGCCATGCTATTCACTGTTGTACAATAACCGCCAGCACCAAAAAGTACTACAACAATAACTAGCCGTCTTGGCGCAGCGCATATCGTCTTACTTGGAAAAATGTCCCTCAGTTATGCCACTTTATCCACAGCGTACGCCCTCTCAACCATGCAACACCTCTCCGTGTGTGCCTTTTGCACTCTCTCCGCGTACTGCCAACAATAACGGTGCTTTCGAAATTGACATAGACGGCATTTTGTGCTTGTCTTATACTCGTTTTTTACACTAACCGTAGTAAATGTGTACATATGTACGTAGGATTTCTTGTAGCCTTGCAGTAATGTCCTTTGTCGCTTGCAACCCTGCCGCCAGGGAGCGGCTAGCATACGCACTCGCACTTATACATAAACGATTAAGTAAAGAGAGTTAATTCCGTTATAGCTCTGTTGTGGGTATGTTATGCTCTCTTGTGTTTGGACATTGTAAAAAGTGCAAAAGCTACTTAACCAACATTTTTTTAAATACAATTTTAGAAAACTAATGATTTTTTAATTAAAAACTCCTAATTGCAATATACTGTCATATTAGGAATTTTAAAACTAGATTCGAAAATAATTAGCATTTCAGTAAACTTTCAATATAAAAATAAATTAGGGTTGCCTTATAATTAAAATAGTATTGTATATTATATAATTTTAATATTATATAATAAAATAATATGCTCGTACATATAATAGAAGAAAAATTTAGCGCTTTCAGTAAACTTTTGATTTTATATTAAATTCAAATAGCGTTACTATATAATTATAATATTATTTTATTATATAATTAAACAAACTATAACGCTATTAGAAATTTTTTAATCGACCGTTATCGCTCATCGCCGCTCTTCATTTATATTTATCACATAATTACAACATCAATTTTGTAACTGTCGTTCAGCTTATTTTCATTTAATGTACAAAACTATGGTAAATATTTTAACATAACCGTTACTATTGCTTATAAACCTAATTCATTTTATGGCAAAATACGAAATTGAATTCGCTTTAAAAGTGTAAGAGAGTATTAACAGTATACACTCCAGCTCACTGTAGCGCTCTCGGACTCAATAATTTTAACTGTTCTCAGAAGTTAGAAGTGAGCTCATATGTTATATGACAGGAAATGGTGTGGCCACCCTGTTTGTATTTGGTAAATATTTATTGAGTAAATTTGAGGGAAATCGAAAACATAATTACACTGCCCTTTAGAATACAGAGCATTGGGTAGACCGAAAGTAACACGAAACGGTATCGAGTTTATTTCGGAAGCAGCCAAATGGACCACAGTTAGATAAAGTAAATGTAAGGCGACATCCTCTCTGTGAGCATAATGGTATTTAGTGTCTATGCCTGTCTTCTCTTTTGAAAGCCCACCCTTAGTAAAGATTTTATCTTTCTATTGTACAATAAATTTTTCACCATTTTGAACAGTAATAATTTAAACATAAAGAATTTAAATTGTGACAGGCTCAAAGCGAAGCCTTGATCGGTTTATGAGGTGTGGGTCTTTATAATCAATTTTTAAAAGTTTTAGACTTCACAACGGACCAGCGCTTTTAACTGTTCAAATGAGATCCTTACTGATTATTACTGCAAGCATCGATCTTATAATCTAACCTAACCTAGTATTTTCGAAGCCCGCGAGTTCTGTCTCTCTTGTTACTACAACAGTAGTTTTTGATCTGTCATATAATTTTCCTTACCTTCTCGATGCCTGCTTACACCAGTTCACGCACAAATATTGGGCTTCGAAGAATACGCTTTTCGATCGTGGAACCAAAGGCTGAAGTGATCGACACAATATCAAATTGCAATCCACGATTTTAACAATTGAAATTGAATGAATATCACCAATTAATCTATAGCTGAGAGAATTGACCGAGATTTTAGCGTAGGACTGAACCAAATACCATTAGATCTTGTCATCATTATTTTCGTTATTATCTCAATTGTCAAACGGAGCCAAACCGAATTCCTCTTTTACTTCAAGACATGAAGTTCAGCAGCCCACTGAAATCTCTAATTACAAGAAGTATTTAAATACTGGTCGGAAAATCGATATTTTTTCCCATCGTACGGCAACCCTCAACTAGTTAAATCTCGGTCGGCATGCAGAAGTGTCGATCTAGTTTTGTGAAGATCAATGCCACATGTCCACATGAATGTTCACAAAATGATCTCCACAGTATAAATTCTCATTAAACAACCTGCCACAAGTCAAGCTGATGAAGTGCTTCTGGTTCTTCACGTACAATATCTAAACCTCCCTTTATTCCTGCTTACCGGAAGCATATACACAATTCACAGACTCTCATACTAATACCACACACAATCGTACGACGTACGCCAAAAATTGTTCCAGCTACGAAACTCCAAACATTAAGCCGCTAAAATACTACAACTCTATGGTACACGCAATAACACCCGCCCCAAAAACCTCGCTGTGCTGCTGTCCATGCAACGTGCAGTGAACCATTAATCGTAATCGTCATCCACACACCGGCGTTGGTGGCAACAGTCGTTGACGGGGTCGTGGCGGCGGCAAGTGTAAATACTCGGACCAAATCGAATAGAGTCAGTCTATAGAAAGAATAAATTGCTGTGCGGGTGTAGAGTGAACAGGAAGAGTGGTGGCACGGTTACACAAAGGAGGCGTAATTGGTGACGTTGGATAGGTGAAAGGCTACACCTTTCATTGCTTATCAGATGAAAAGCGTTTTACGAAGCGTGTACAAGGCAACAACAGCAACAATAACAAAAGAAAAACAAAGAAGAAGAAACGTGAACGCAAAAACAACACTGACAAATACAATCAAGTCTCTGGGTTGGTCGGTTGTTCGGTCGGTCGGCTGTCGAAGGTTAAGCCGACTACAGCTGAAGTAATAAGAACGCAACAGCAACGAAGGCGACGACATTGATAGCGAAGGACGATACATACACACGCAAAAACAATTGTAGTGGGGTGCGGGTGGTGACAGTCGGTTGTATGAACGTCGTCGTTAACTGCGAGATTTTTGACCGGAGCTTAGATATTTTCCGTAATCAGACGGACGAAGCGCTGGCCGCAGCGGGTGTCGCCGTGCAACTCAATTGCCTACCAAACGAGAAAACTAAATGAGCAAAATCGATTTTACGCAGAGCGTAAAATGCCAAACTTGGCAAACAGGAGCAGAGCTGAGAGGGCGAAGAAGAATGAAGCAACGGAAAAACGAAAAATAAAAGTTGTAGAATTGTAATTTGGTCACCCAAGATGTACTGAAGAGGGTTGGAGAAAGAGGAAAAGTGAGAGAGGGTGTTGAGAAAAAGATAGTGATGAAGTAAATGTGTGTGTGTATGCGTGAGCGTACAAAATACCAAATACAATAAAAAATAACTGCCTATGTACATATGTATGTATGTATATGTGTGTGTATGTATATGTAAGTATGTAAATTTATATTTTTATTAAATCGTCAGTAGTGGCAATTCTTTGAGTTGTTGGTGTGAAATTTGAAGTTACACGCAGCAGGCAGTTGAACAAAGCCAAAGCCCACAACAACAACAATAGTAACAACAATAACATCAGTGACAACAACAATAAGCGCCAACAACTAAAACAGCAACAACAACAACAACAATAAGCGCCAACAACTGAAACAGCAAACAATGTGAGCAAACACTTTAATCATGAGAAGCGGACAGACAAACGTGCGCCGCAACGGCAGAGAGTGCAGCAGAGCGAGAGAGAGGGGTTGTGCTGCTGTTGCATAGACTTTCGGAAAGTTAGCCGTGGTTACTGCACACAATCACATACATGCATACATACATACATTCATAAATCCATACAACTGTGACTGTTGGCTTTGTTGATTTTTCGCATTTGTAGGCGTGTGTGTGCGTGCGTTTGTTTTTGTGTCTTTTTGCACTTTTGTTTTCGCAACATGTAATCCACGCTTTTTGGCGCTAAAATACCACGCTCCGTGCTGGTTGCACATATGCACTTACATACAAATGTGTTTGTATGTGGCTTTTGCGCCTGAAATTATGCAATATCCACTGTAGTTCCTTACCCTTTTCGATATCACAGCGTTATTGCGTGCATGAGTATGGATGTGTGTGTGTTTGTGTATAAGGGAAGCCCTTTCGCTGCATTCGCGTTGTTGGTGGTGAGTTAATTTCTGTTGCTTTCCGCTTTCTTCTGTTCTGCCAGCATATGATGTGCCGTTCGTTTCACCGCTAATACAATTAAAACAGATATATATGATTTGTCGCATGCCTTGTAGGAGCAGAAGGAAGGAAGTGGTCGATAATTAAGCAATTTTTTGTGAAATATCAGAGTTTGTAAGATTTTTTTTTTTGAGCTTCTGCAGATAAAATAAATTTATCCATCGCAACTCTAGTTAAAAGAAGATTTAAATTGGACTTAGGCTAAATTTAAAAGCAGTGATGAACTAACGATTCTCTGGCATCGGGGTAACCTGTTGTTTGTTATTTACTTACTGTATTCATCTTAATATGTCAATCACTACTAAATAAATTGCTTCTCGTATATATAATTACATACTCTTCACAAATACAAAAGTATCCTTACAAGAACTTTGATCGGATAGATTGTATGCCATATAGCTGGCTATAGTTACTCGATCTGAACAATTTAACTTGAGATTTCCCTGTTGGCTTGTACAATAAACCATGCAAAAATTTATAAAGATATTAGCTGATAATACCTCATCAAATGAAAAAGTTTTCTATACAAGAACATGATTCCTATCGTTGAGTATGTATGACAGCTATATGCTATAGTATGCCGATCTAAACCATGTCTTCTAATATTGCACCATTGCCTTAGGCAATAAATCATGCCAAATTGCTTGAAGTTATCTCGTCAAATGGAAAATTTTCATCCATTTTCAAACATTCATCTTATATCGAACGTTCAGTTTATATGACAGCTATATGCTATATTGATTCGATATCGGCCATTCCGACAAATGAGCAGTTTCTTAGTGAAAAAATTACGGGTGTAAAAGTTCATAACGATATCTCAAAAACTGAGGGACTTGTTTGTATATAAACAGACGAACGAATATACGAGCATGGCTGAATCGCCTTTTTTCGTTACGCTGATAATTTTTACGACGTTTTCTTTTAGGTGTTACAAACATCGTGGCAAACTTAATGTAACCAGTTCAGGGTATAATAATGCAGATATTAAATGAGCGATGTATAAAAAGACGACACTGCTCGAACCTAAAGTTTTAA